TCTGACAACAGGGATAGGTGTGCTTTAAGGGAATCTACTTTTTTTTAAAGGGAGGATTTGTTCTTCTTTGATTGCAGCTTCTCCCGGGACTTTTTATTTAAAAAACTTGTTTCGACTTAAGTCGACATGGTGGCCAGAACAGTGGCTTGGGAGTCAGGGGACCTTAGTGCTCCTTTTGGTTCTGTCATTAATGAATAATGTAACCCTATATATAATAATCTGGGCATAATAATATTAATGATACTGACAATACTTATATATAGTCATTTTCTAAGTACTTTACATAAATTACCTCATTTATTCCTTAAAATAAAGCAAGATATAGGTATTATTATGCTCCCATTTTATAGATGAGGAAATGAGCAGAAGCTAAAGTAACATGGTAGAGCTGAGCTTTGAACCCTGGCAACTTGGCTCCAGAAACCTGTACTTAACCCTATGCTGATTACTCCCGCAGGTCCAATGTTCACTTTTAAAATGTGGCAGGATTATATAATGCCTGAAAACCCTTCCTGTACTCCTATAAGGCAGGAATGAGAAGTGGGGAGCATATCCCTAAATTCCAGATGTGGCGAAGGGCATGGTTTAAGGGCTGTGCCAAGAGGGACTGAGGAACTAAGGGTGTGGGAAGGAGTGAAGATGGCGTCTCCCTGGCTCTCCTCCCAGACCATGTCCTCATCCACTGTGCACAGAGCCTCCCACAAAGCCTCCTTCTTGCCCACCACTCTCAGCCTGGCGTGCCCCTCTGTTGTGAAAGCTGCCCCTCCACTAACCGGTGGCTGTTGACAATCTCTGGAGTGGCGATGTTACCCAGGACAGAAGGATCGGGAATTGCCTCTTAACGAGCAAATATGGAGCCTGCTTGTTTCTCGGATCTCTGCCCTGCAGCTGTGGTGACCTGTATCTGGGGTAGGGTGGGGGGTCTCCCAGGTGGGAGTCCTGCTTCTGGTGTGTCCATCTTCTTTCCTTACAAGAGCTGTGTGATTCAGGGAAATTTGGACCTGGCTGGAGGGGGTACATTCAAATAACTGGAATCTTCTGCCCAGGTCCCAACTGTCTCTTGGAATTCACCATCCCCTACAACAGTCGTCTTCATAGCATGGTCCCCAGACCAGCAACATCTGCATCACCTGGAACTTGATAGGAACACAAATTCTTGGCTCCCTCCCCAGACTGAGCCAGAAACTCTGGGGGAGGGGCCCAGTCAGCTGTAGGGTTTTTAACAAGCCCTCCAAGTGATTCTGATGCATGCCTGAGAACCACTGCCAGGAAATCGGGCTTGGGATTCTGTAAACTGCTGAGGGCAGAGGACAGGTGGACAATGAAGAGAGTCTAGAAGCTTCAATTATGCAGTAATCCAAGGGTTCTGAACATTTACCAAGAAATCTCCAAGAGCCTCTGGAGTAGACTCAGTCCTCACACACTCCAGGTTCTTCCTGTGGCTCTTAGGGATGTGCCACTCTACTAAGAGCGGTGAAGGATGTGCTGCTGGACCAAACCCTGCATGGGACTTCGAAATAAAACTGTCTGAGGCTTGCGCCCAGGTCCTTCAATATGAGACTTCAGCCCCAGTCTTGGTTTACTGCTTGGTTAAAATAGGATTGTTGATACCAATATTGCAGGACATCTTTGAGAACAAATAATATACTTAATGAAAAGAACAGTGAGAAAGGCAATTAACATTTCTTGGGTGCTTAGTGAATGTCAGGACCTGTGCTGAGGGCTTTCAGGCGCTATCTTAATCCTCAGAACAACCTTGAAGGTGCTATCTTAATCCTAAGGACAACCTTGAGACAGGTTTTAGGAATAACTTCATTTTACAGAGAGAGAAACTGAGTCTCAGGCTCATCATTTTGCCCACGGAGACTCAGTGGCAGGGCTAGAATTTGAACTAGTCTTAGTTCAAACTCGGAATCTTAAATGGGCCTCCTCTAGTGCAGACCCACCACCTGCCCTTAACCTGCAGGTATATAATAAATGTTCTAAGAATTAATTCTCATCTCGCTAATGAATCGTTGGCCAGGACACATGCAAATTCGAGGAGCTTCTGGAAACAGTCCTTTCACATTTGGATGCCTTTTCTCAGCGCACTTTATTCTGACCGAGAAACCCATGTCCCTCCTCTTTGTGGAACCTGCAGGTCTGCAGCCAAGCTACCCCGTCACTTGGCTTTCTCTAGGGGCAAATGCAGAGCAGACTCGGGAACAAGTGCTATAGTGTCTCTCAGCCTACATGAGATTCGCGCAAGTTTTTGCTTCCAACAGGTGTGGGCACAAAGCTACTCCGGGCCTGGCAAAGCAACCCTCCAAACTACGTTCTCACCTGTTGTGCACATCTTTCATGCAGGACCTGGTCATGGAACGACGCGTGCACCGGGAGGTTCCAGGGTTATCTGCTGCGCGAAGCTAGAGACAAGGGAGCGGGAGAACAATGAGGAAGAACTGCACATGCGCAGAAGGAGTTGCGAGGACCACTTTCCTGAGCTCTCCTTCCTGTAATCCATCAAATTCAGGGCTCCGTTTTCCATAAGTCTCCGCGCCCTCTTTCTTAGGGACCGCTGTAAGAGTTCCTGCCTTATTTGGTGATTTGTTGTCCACGATCATCTCTCCTTTGGAGTCCTGGTTCCTTCTTAACTCCACCTACAACTAGTGTTTCTTTAGACTCAAAGCTACTTTGAAAAGGACATATGTATGTCAACTGCACATATGAAAACAGAAAAATTTAACTAAACTATTAGAAAATAAACCCCAGCAATACAGTAAGAGGTTAATACCCATCACCAGCAAGTTTTCCCCCAGGAATGCAAACAACATCTCCACCCAAAACTGGATTTCAAAAGTAATAAACTAAAACTGTATATAAAATGGCAAATACACATAAATCAATAGAAGACTTGATCAAAGGCGAGTACTAATAATTTTTTCTCCCAGAAATGACCACGTTAGGTGATACTTTTATTAAAACAGGACCCTAGAAGTTCGATATGTTATTTTGACCTTTGGTTAATAATTTTCTCACTCTTTTTTGTTTCATTTTGAAAATCTTTCAAACTTACCAAAAAGTTGCAGGAATGAACACCTGCAAATTGTTTACTTAGATACACCAATTGTTAATATTTTGCTACTTTTGCATTCTCTCAATCTGCTCTCTCTCTCTCTCTGTAACCACCCCACAATTATCAAATTCAAGAAACCGAACACTGATATACTATCAAATATGTAGACCATATTCAATTTCACCCATTTCACAATATCCTTTATGACATTTTTTTTTCTCATCCAGGATCCAATTCAGTCATTCATTACATCCAGTTGTCATATCACTTAGCCGTTTATCTATTTCCTCAGCCTTTTTCTGTCTTTTATGACACTGGTAATTTCAACTAGGACGAGCTAGTTGTTTTAAAGAATGTTACTTCACTTGTGTTGGTCTGATTGTTTCCTTACAATGAGATTCAGGTTACACATCCCTTGGCATAACATAAGGGATTTAATGTTCTCAGTAAATCATGCCAGATCAGTTTCATATGCACTGTGTCATTTTTGGTAATATTAACTTTGATCCTATGATTAAGATAATGTACCGGTCGACATACTTTTATATCAATTGTTTCTCTTATGCCAATGATTGTAATAGGAAATAAGTTCCATTTACAGTAGCATTTAGTATCTAGGACTATGTTAACAAGAATTGGGCAAAATTTACACCAAAGAAACGATTACATTCTACTGTGTGACATTACAGATATGAATGAAGACATGTACTGTTTTCCTAGATGGGAAGATTCAACATTCTTTAACAAAATTCCAATCAAAATTTCAGTAAGTTGAGTGACGTGGTTTCTTCATTTTTTCTTTTCTTTTATTTTACTTAACAGAACATATGTAAATTTCACCTGGAAGGAAAAAACCTAAGGATAACAGTCAGGACTTTAAAAAAAAATCAGAGTATTTTCTATAAGATGTGAATATGTATAATATTAACATAATATTCAAAAGGTTGCCTCTGGCTCGTTAGAACAGGTGCAAACCCAAGAGTTCATAAGAATTAACGGTATGATGAAGGGGGAATTTCCAAGTCAGGGGAAGGGAGAGATGAGGCAGTCAGGAAATCATGTTAGGAAACTAGACGTGATAGAGAGAGAGGGGAAGATTATGTCCTTGGTTCCCACACATGATAACACATAAACTTCATGCAGACTCTTGATTTAACATTTTAACAGTGAACCACCAAGTACCTAGAGAAAACATAAAATAATTTTCTCATTTAATCTCTGGGTAGGGATGGCAAGCTGTCAAACCATGAAAGAAATGACTGCCAAATTTTACTCCAGAAAAATTTACGACCTTACTTTCAGGAAAAAAAAATTCAAGTAAAAAACACTTGGAAAATATATTTGTTAAGTATATGAAAGAAATGGTTTATTGACTTCATTTAATTATCTCTTACACATTTATAAGAAGATCACACTACCATAAAAATGATCTATGAATATGAAAGGGAAAGTAGTAAAAGAAAAAATGCAAATGAGGAATAAATATGTGAAAGCAGCCCATAAACTACAAACAAAACATGCAAATGTTTTTTGGACTTTACCACTGGCAAAGATTAGAAAGAAAAATTATATCCAGGGTGGGCATAAGTTTGGGGAAATGCTCATTCTCATAAATTTCTATTTGGAATATAATTAATAAAACAATTTAGAGGCAACACTGTACCAAGGAGCATGCACCTTAGTGTAGCAATTCTATTATTAGAAATATGATCTAAAGAAGTAGTTGTCCAGGGTTACATGTATAAGTGCATTTCCCACAGTTTATATTAAGAGCAACACATTGTCAAAATCTAAATGTAAAAAAAGGAGAAAAAGAAAATCGCTTGTAGAAATTCATAGTTGGGGTACTAGGTAACCATTAAGGATCAGAATGCAGAGATATATTAATTGGCATGAGGGAAGTTAACAACATATTTTCAAATAAAATGCTCTTTACACAAGAATATAAGGCATTAATCTATTTTTTTTAATAAAAAAATCACACGTCTCCTAAGGGTATAAAAATAATGTAAAAACCAAATGCAAGAACAAAATTGAACCAAAAAAAATTGCTTTACTTTCATACATAACAATAGTGCAGTCTGTGTAAAGATTTTGTTCATAAAGACCTGGACGAATTCAAAACCTGCATCATTCAATACTAATATCCCCATAGGAACAGACGTAGAACAGGAAAGATGCATTCTCAGGGAGCATAATTTATATCTATTGTGGAACATACTGCTCGAATGCTGCCTTTTTTATTTTCTCAGCGTTAGCTCTGATGTTGTATTGAGTGTTCTCCATTAAATTAACTGCACAGTGCATTATGGTGTTTAAGTGTCTTTGTAGTATATCATAATATCTAATTTCCACTTTGAAATAATTGGTCTTCATGAATTTTTAAGCCCCCTAAGAGTGCAACCATTTAATGAATATTCGGATGAGACTGGTGTAGTAATTAAAATATTTAAAATTTTAATAACAGTGAATGTTAAAATGACTGCCAAAGTTACGAAATCATTCAAAATACTCTAAAGCATTAGTAACAGTGTGCTTATTCAAGAACACCAACAATTCTGGGCTTATTAAATGGGTAAACTTTAGTTTATCTGCTAAAGTGATAGAGCCAAATCTCGACAATATAAACACAATTCACAATTAGTGCTCCTTACTGCTTATATGTGGCTCCTTAAATTTTTTGGAAACTTTGGAAGACTTGAAGTATTTTGAAATTTGCACCTAATATGAGACACTATTATACTTGTTGTAGGTTTCTTATAGATATCCATTATCAATGATATTTTAAAAATTTCCTTTTGTTGACAATTTACTATGGATTTTTTAAATCATGAATTTTTAAAATTATGAGATTTTGAATTTTAACAAATGTATTTTCTATATTATTGATATGACCTTTATGCTCATTTCACTGGTTACTTTTTTAAAAGAGTTAAACAAATACACATTCCTGGACGGAATCCAACTTGGTCATGACCTTAGCTTTTAAAAATATTGCTTGTCTTATATTCACATGAGATGATGAATGTTAACTAAACTTACTGTGCCAATCATTTCACAATGGCATATGAAAGTCAAATCATGATGTACACCTAAAACTTACACAGTGCTGTTATGTTAATTATCTCAAAAAAATTAGAAAACATATTGCCCAATTTTATTTGCTAATGCTTTGTTTAAAGCTCTTATTCATGAATGAAATTGACTTTTAATATTTCATTCTTATAATATCCTTCTTTGGTTTTTATATTCAAGGTTATGCTGGCCAATAAAATAAGGTAGGAAAATATTCCCTTTTTTCTATTCTCTAGAACAATTTCTGGAGGCAGCTATGCTCACCACTATACCACCAATGCTAGAACAACTTCTGTAAGATTGAGTTACTTTTTCCTTATATATTTGGTAAAATTAAACAGTGATGCTATCTGGGCCCCTAAATTTTAAATTAAGAATTCAATTTTAAAAACAATTTTGAATAGTTAAAGAATTATGTAGATTTTTCATTTCTTCTGTTGTCAGTTTTGGCAATTGATGTTTTTCTAGAAATTCACCCATTTCTTCTAAAAACACTGGCAAGGAAGATTCTTTCAATTTCTAGTCTTAATTCTTTCACTAACAATATGTTATCCAAGACAACTCACTTATTCATTCTACCCTAATTTTATTGCTATTTTAAGCAAGGAGAGACAGGTAACTTGCAAAGTTTACTCTAGTACTACCTTTCAGTTCTTCTCTAGCTAAGAGAAAAAAACTTTTCTTCACCTTGGCCAGAATTTAGGGGAAAGAATATCAATCGGGTATGGTAATATATATGGTATAGGGCCAGCCCAGAATCTGGAAAGCAGCAGCAGAAAATAGAGTTGGTGTGTAATTTAGGGAGAAGTGGCGATGTATTTTGTCTGCCGGTGCTGGTCAATTCTTATTCCAAGACCAACGTTTCAAACACCCTACAAGAAAGTTTATTTCCCTATCGAACCTGTCCCTTTCCTAGCCACCTTTGCCCTGGCTTACCATTTCTCCTCTCAAAGTTTGCTCACAGCTTCTACACACAGTATTTGATGGCCTGTGGATGCTGTGATATTATCCTAGCTTTGCTCACTATAAGCAGGAAAATCAGGAACTGCTTCAGACCCAGCTATCTAGGACCTAATTCTTATAGTGGTTCTTTTATTCTGTCCTATAAGATCTCAGGTTAGAGTGGATGCTCTCCAAGGTACTTGCAGAACCACTTGCTCCCTTCTCTTGAGCTTTTTGGTACCTGTGGATCTTGAACCTGGGTCTGGGAGTCAAATGAACTTGATCTAGGACCTATAACTTGGGTCACAAACTAAACCTCAGACTGAGCTATAAGCTCTGAACAGTTACTGAGAACAGAGGCAACTTCCATACCCCCAGTTTTAAGGTGCGATGTCTCAGAAGTCTGCTTTCCCCTGAGAACAGAAGGAAGAGGAGGAGAAAAACAGCTCTTTCATTTCTAAAGGTGATATGGCAGGTGAATTGCTTACTTATGATTTTCTTCCTGAAATACTGATTTACAGAGTCTAAAAACACTTTGCTCTTTGGGGCTGTAAGGGAGTATCTGTTCCAGGCCTCTGTCTTAGCTTCTGGTGGCTTGCTGGCAATCTTTGGCACTCCTTGGCTTGTGGAGGCATCTCTGCCTTCATCTTCACATGGTGCTGTCCCTGTGTCTCTTCACAATGATGATTCTCTGTGCATGTCTTTCTTTGTGTCCAAGTTTACCCTTTATATATCATATAAGATTAGGGCTCACCCTAATAATCTCATTTTTAATTTGGCTACTGCCATTAAAAAAAACAAAACACCTATTTTCAAGTAGCATCACATCTTGAGGTACTGGAGGTTAGGACTTCAATGTATCCTTTTTTTAGGGGCAGTTGTGAATCCATACAGAAAGATACAAATTTATCAAACCTTGTTATTTATTCTGGGAGAGGTTTCCATTTCTCTTGTGGTCACTGGTCATTCAATTTTTCAAACTCAAATTGATAAGTTTACCTCTGCCTGCATTTTTCAAAGGATATCTTCAGTGGGTATAGAACTCTAGGTGTGTGGCCACAACCAAATGCCCAGACATCTTCCCCTATCTGCCTGGGCTGGAATCCTACTTCTTTAGCAGCACTGTGTGACCTCCAAAATTTCTGTTTGACTCAGTATCCCAACAGCTGTTCTCCCGAGTCTGGCCGTATGCAGGCACAGTTCCAATGTCAGCCAGGGACCCAGAAGAAATTTCCATACAGGTGTTTAGGGCTCCTTCTCTAGCATCCTGCCTTCCAAACGCCAGCTGTGTTGGAAGGAAGCTCCAAACCCTGATATCCTCTCCCTCCATCCAGCAAGACCACTGCTCTCTGCTTGGGTTCTATGTCCCTGCACTGTGGCTTTAGAAATGCCACCAAGGAGAATTATAGGATAATGTGTTTTCTTTCTGTCAGGGATCACAGTCCTCAATGAGTTGCTTTCCAGTGCATAAAAATAGTGTTTTGTATATTTATCTAGCTTTCGTAGTTCGTTCACAGTGAGAGTAACTATTCCATTATAGCTGGAACCAAAAATGATCGTCCTTTTATTTAAGGTACAGTTCAAATTTATTTCTGAAGGTATCCTTTGATGCCTCAGCCTTTATAATCTCAGTCTTTATCAATTCACACTGTATGGCAGTTAACAAGTGATTGTATTAATTGCGGTCCTCCACAGAAACAGAACCAACAGACTATAGGTACACACATACATTCATAAGTGTGTGTATGTATACACATGTGTGTATATATAATTTATTATAAGGAATTGACTCACATGACTGTGGAGGTTGAGAAGTCCCAAGATCTGCAATCAACTGCAGACCCAGGAAAGCTAACAGTGTAAATTCCAGTCTGAAGTCTGGCAGGCTTGAGACTCAAGAAGAGTGATGTTTCATTTCAAGTCTGAAGATTGATGTCCCCTCCAAGCAGCCAGGCAGGAAGGAGTTCCTTTATCGTTTCACTTGGGTGGGATTCTGCCTTCAGGCATCATCCCACATATGGCAGCTTCACCTCAGTGACTCCTCAGCCAAGTGCAAACACCAAATGTATGTTTCTTTAGCTGCTACTTTTTATGAAGATAGGGAATTTTGCAGGCCCAAACTATACAAGGACAAAGTATATTTCTTACAGTTTCCACTTTCTATTATAGTTTTTGGCCACCCATTCTAACATATCCTTATACTCAGTCTCCCTCCTGATGATGCCCAACTTGAAAGAAATCTACTAAGGGCCACTTGGAAGTATGTACACATATAATGTATAAATTGTTATTTCAGGAGTCAGTGAAATTTAGAGATGTGGCTGTGGTCTTTTCTCTGGACCAGTGGGCTCATCTGAGCCCTGAAGAGAGAAAACTGTACGTGGATGTGATGCTGAGTAACTGTGACTACCTTGTGCCATTGGGTAAGATCTTTCCTTGTTACTTTAAAACTACCCATGATGGAATTTTTCCTTCTGTATGAATTATCTGCAAAGCCCCTGAAAATGCTTGACTGAATTTCAACTCAATATTCCTCAGTGAAGCCCTGGAGCTGCATGATGTTAAGAAAGAGCATTTTCAGCTTGTGATGACTTCAGCTTTATGTTCTCTGCTGTCTTCCAAACTATCACGTCTTCCTTAAAAATGACTTCTCAGGCCATTGTGTGACTAAGAAACAGCTGGGGAACTGTTAAAATATAGATTAAAAAACAAAAACATAAACAAACAAACAAGAACAGTGCCTTAGAGGTTCCTGAGAGATTCTGAGGTGATAATGAAATTTATCATGGATCTAAATTCTGTAATAAACACAGCATAGTCAAGGCCACTTATTTTTCTTAGGACACTGGACTTATAAGGCAGAAGTGATCTCCTCATGGAAGCAAGTGCCAAGTCCTCCACGCCCAGGTGATTGATAAGCAACAAGCAAGTGGAAGCCATCATAGCTCACACCTCAACTGGTCAAGTAACCTGGACCCATGAGGTGACAGGAGAGGAGCTCCCCCAAGAGCCCCCAAAGAAATCTTTTTACCCCACATCCATCACTCTCCGTTACTCCTTTTGTGATAGTTCCAGTCTTAGGATACTTCATGTATATTGTCACAGGAAAGGACAGAAGAATGAGCAGCTGAACTGGTCACATAATTTATCAGTGATTAGAATGAATGAATGGGTTAGTTCAGTGTTATGAAAAGCCTTTTTTTTTTTTCCAAGAAAGAGTTATGGAGAGGGATTTTTTTTCTCTCTGGATTATGATAATAGGTTAATTAGATATAAAATAACAATCCAGAAAAGCAATGGAGAGAGATGATATGTCCATCATTAATAGGAAGTAGAGACTGGCAGGAGGCACAGTCATCTTGGGATGTCATAGAAACTTGTTTTAAGTTTCAGTGCATAATAGAGATGGCAGCTCATTAATAGGCTCTTGAAAGTCAAAGGATGAAAAATTAAAAGTTGGGATAGATGATGATGATTTTGGTTTGGGACATCATTAGAGCTGAAGAGTAGAATAAAATACCAAATGCACATGAGCTGTAGGCATTTTAGAAAGTGGTCCTGGAATCCAGGAAGAAATTCAAAGGTTTTACGATAATTGTTCATAAAAATTCCAAGTGACTCTGCACCTTCTTATTCTTTGAAAACTTAATAACCTGGCCCAAGCTCCTCTCCAACCCCTAAGCTAGTTCACTGATACAAATGAGTCGTCTTTTGAACTTTCTCTATTATCCCATTAATGTATCTCTTCCTTAGTCTTTCAGTCTTTGTGTACCTCCGCATATTTTTCTATAAAGTTGTAGTCACTTTTATATTTACTGTAATATTTTGTCCTACTCTCCACTGCCTTTTGATTTCAGGAAATAAATCTGTTTGCTTCATTTTGTGTTCCATATACATACACCTAGTTGAAGAAAAGAAATTAGCCTCTTTATGGCTGGCAATGTGGTAAGAGAGCTGGAAATCAAGTACAGAGACTTAAGTCCATCATATTGTTCAGCTTCTAGCCACTTATCACTATTGTCTTATTCGAGACTCCACCATTATTTTGTAGTCTCTTAACATGTAGCCCATGATCTCACGACATGGACTACGCCACCCTAGGACAGCTAGTCTATTTTCTATGTTGTTAAATATGCACATATCAATTATAAAATATACAGTTTTCTATATGAATGCATCTTACTTTAAATAGCATGCTGTAAAAATCTCATTTCCTATCTTTCTATTTATCTCTAGTTCTGAAATTTTTATATTATATATATACATCTTTCTTTTTAGTGCCATATAGTATTCTATAGTATGTTTCCACAACATTTAACTTAAAAGACTTTTATTCTATCAATAGCTAAGTCTCTTTCTGACCAAATTCTCTCGTGTTGCCTTAAGAATCTATGCAATAATTTTACAGAGCATATTATAAATCATTTCATAAAACATTCCCATTGCCTTTGTACCTTTTCCAAAAAAACCAGTTGTCTATATACGTGTTCATAATATTCTCTTACTACTCTTTTAATGGCTATAGAATCTGTAGTTACATCATCTATTTTATTCCTAATATTGGTAATTTGTGTCTCTTTTTTTTCTTATAAGTCTGGCTGGGCTTATCAATTTTATGGATCTCCTTAAAAAACAGCCTCTTGTTTTATTGGTATTTTTTTTTCTGTACCTATTTCCTGTTTTCTATTTCACTGATTTCTGCTTTAATTTTTATTATTTCCTTTCTTCTGATTACTTTGGTTTAATTTGCTCTTCTTTTTAAAGGTGGAAACTGAGGTCATCGACTTGAGACCTTTCTTTTTCCAAATATAGGCATTTAGTGCTCTCGACTTTACCCAAGTACTACTTTGGTGGCATCCCACAGATTTTCATATACTGTGTTTTCATTTTCATTCCGTTCAAATACTTCTCTTTTCATTCCTTGTTTGATCTGATTAGTTAAAATTATGTTATTTGGTTTGAAAGTACTGGGGGATTTTCTAGAAAGTACTGGGGGATTTTCGGTTAAGTTCTAATTTAATTCTATTGTGGTGAGAGAACATACTTTCTATGACTTGAGTTCTTTTCAGCTTGTTGAGACCAGTTTTATGGACAGACTCGATTTGTGGTCCATCCTGGGAAATGTGCCTTGCACACTTCAGAAGAATGTGTATTGCTGATTGTTCTATAAAGAGTAATGAGATCTACTTGGTTGATAGTGTTGTCCAAACCTGTCATATATTTGCTAATATTCTGCCTACTTTTTCATTGATTATAGAGGGAGGGGTATCGAAATCTCCAACTATAACTGTGAATGTATTTCTTCTCGATACTCTTTTTGTGTCATATATTTTGAAGCTTTGAAGGTGTACACATATTGAAGGTTACTATGCTCTTGATTAACTGACCTCTTTATCTTAAGAAATGAACTACTTTATCCCTGGAGATATTTATTGCTCTGAGATCTATTTTGTCTGATATTAGTATAGCCACTCTAGCTTCCTTTTGGCTGGTGCCATGGTATACATATTTTGCATCCTTTTACTTTTAACTTATTTGTGTCTTTACATTTAAAGTGAGCTTCTTGTAGATAATACATAATTTGATTTTGCTTTCTTATCCAATCTTGATAATCTTTACCTTTTAATTGAGGGTGTTTATACCAGTGGTTCTCAATGCAGGGAGAGGAAGATTTTGTCCCCTTGGGGCATCTGGCAGTGGTTGGTGACATCTTTGGTGGTCACAAGGAGGGATAGGAGTATGTTACTAGCATCTATGGGGTAGAGGCCAGGGATGTTATTAAACATCCAGCATACACAAGACTGCACCCAAAACAAAGAAATTACCCAGTACAGAGGGTCAATAATGCTCAGATTGAGAATCCTTGGTTTACACCATTTACATTTAATGTGATTACTGACGCGGTTAGATTGAAATCTTCTTGTTATGTGTCTTTTCTGTTCTTCATTCCCTCCTTTTCCCCTCTATTCCTCTCTTCTTGATTGAGTATATTTTTCAAGATTGCATCTTCTCTCCTTTGGCTTATCAGCTATAATTCCTATTAGCTGCATTATTTCTCTTTTTGGTGGCCGCATTAGGGTTTGAGTTTATGGTACCCATCTTTAATACTACAGTTCTCATACTACCATTTATCTTCACCCAGCTTTTATGTTGTTGTTGTCATGCATTTTACATATGTTATAAGCCCCACAATACATTGTTATTATTTGTGTTTAATCAGCCAATAGTTATTTTAAAGAGACTCAGTAATGATTTTTGAAAACCTTATATATTTACTATGTATTTACAGTTTCTGATATTCTTCCTTACTTTCTGTAGATCCAAATTTCCTTTTAGAAAATATTCATGTATAGTTTAAACTATTTGTCTGTGTCCATGCATTCCCAATCATTTCTGTAGCACCTCAAGGTCTAGAACGATGAAGGTAACAGAAACCCATGCTACTTCTCACTCTTATCAATAGCAGGTTAATAAATACAAACTATTATAGATAGTTTTTTGGTATATCCTATAAAAATGCTCAAAATTATTTTTTTCCTAGCAATTAACCAAGTTTTTAGATTTCTTTATTACCAAAACATGAATGCTAGAACTTATCTTTTGATCAAACTGTGAGGCCATAAGCTTGACAGAGTCTAGAGTTATCAAATACTAGAAAACAATGATGTTCTTGTGCAGCATAAGGGCTTACCTGAGTGTGCTGAGTATAGACAACAAGAATAGGGACCCCCTTTCATTTCTGGGGACCCCCTTTCATTTGTCAGAACCAATGATTCAACGAATTAACAATGATGTATACAAAAGAATATTTTTAGTGTTAGCAATAACAAAAACAAATACAATTCAAATATCCAAATATAGCACTAGCCAATCAATAATGACTGTCATACAGTAAAATATTAAATATCAGTAAAATTGATAAATACGATTTATAGTTACTAATATAAAGATCCCCAATTTTGCCATTTAAAGGAGAATATTTAAAGTATAATCACTTTCACAAATTGCTACATCTATACAGAAATATTTTAAAGGATCTTAATGAAAATAAAACTTTAATCCATGTTAGGATTTTGATGTGATTCTTTTTAATTCTTTAAGTTTTTCTGTTTTTGGTAATTAAAATTTCAACAAGTCATTTTTTTTACAGTCACAAATATAAGTATTTCAAATTTAAAGAAAATTTTCAATAGCCACATGTTGCTCGCTTAAAATTATTCTTGCACGGTATTTAGCAAACACTTCTCTCCCAGTCTTCCATCCTCACAAACTGCTTCTCATCCTAGCCCTCTAAAGTCCCCAGTCACTGGACCCTTCTCTCCCCCTACCCCGCTTACTGATTATCTTTGTTTGTTGCTATGCCTGGAACTAACTTTGTTTTTCTCATATTGTTTTTCTAATAGCATGTCAACAAGCATTGGTGAATTATCACACCCTTAATGAATCTCTGAATATCTTCACACAAAGCTCTCACCACACTAACGATAGAAAGCTCTGTACTTTTGTCCAGCGTTATGAATGTGATGACTGCAGCATAGCCTTCAGCCACATCTCACAGCTTACTGGACATTAGAGAATTCACAAGGTCGAGAAAGCCCAAAGATATGCAAAGGCCTTTAGGCATCGCTCATCATTTACAACACTCCAAAGAATTTATATTCTAGATCAACACTTTGAATGTAACCAATGTGGCAAAACCTTTAACAGAGCTTCAAACTTTATTCAACTTCGGAACACACACAATGAATGAAACCATACAAATGTGAGGTGTCAGAAGGCCTTTAGGTTTCTCTCATCCTTTAATACACATCAGAAGTTTCACGTTGGCAAGAGACTAGACTTGGCATCAAAAAATTCATATTCAAAAGAAAGTCTTTTGTCTGTAAATTTTGCCGTAGGGCCTTTCACAATTTCTCAGAAAAAAAAATCAACATGAAAAAATTCATATTAGAAAGAAATACTACACATGTAGTTACTGTAAAAAGGATTTCAGTCCACACTCAAAATTTCTCATACATCAAAGAGTTCGTATTGAAGAAAGATTCTACAAATGTTAATACTGTGAGAAATCCTTTAAAAGCAGCTCAAATCTTAATAAACATCAAAAAATTAATATTGGAGAGAAGTCCTTTTCATGTAATAAATGTAAAAAGACCTTTTCTCAGTTCATAGAGCTTAGCTGCCATCAACAAATCCACACTGGAGAGAAATTTTACATAAGTAGTAACTGTGAAAAGACCTTCGTCTGCTTCTCAGATCTAACTCGACTCGACACCAAAGAACTCAAACTGGAAAGAGACCCTACAGATGTAATGTTTGTGAAAAAGCCTTTAGACATCACTCAAACCTTATTAAGCATCGATAACTTCATTCTGAAGAGAGGCCCTTTAAATGTAATGAATGCAAAAAGACTTTTTGCTATTGCTCAGACCTTAATCAATATAAAAAAATGCATACTAAAGAGAAATCCTAAAAATGCAATGAATGTCAAAAGGTTTTTAATAATAATTCAAATCTTAATAGACAAGAAAATCCATACTGAAGAGAAACCCTTTGTTGTAATCAATGTGGAAAAGCTTTCAGACTAAATTCAAAAATTTCTTGACATCAGAAAACTCATGATAAAAAAATCCTAAAAATATATAGAAGATGCAAAAAGGCTTTTAGATACTCACCTCTTACTCAAAATTTGAAATTTAAACCAAAGAAATCAATGTGGAAAGGTTTTTAGTCAAAGCCAAATTCTTCATAAATTCATCCAGTATGAAATAGTTTAGAAATATAAATATACATATATATATGTTAAAGAAACAGGGAGAGGTGATCAGAAATGTACTTTTTATATTGCACTGACTTGATTCTTTGAGCAAAAATGTCTAAACACATTCAACCAACACTCTGAAATCGGATAAGACAGCTTCTATGGTGAGAAGTAGGTTAAGGGGCAGTTGGAAGTGTGTAGTAAAAAGAAGATTCATTTTGCTGTCTGTTCATAATCTATTTTCACTGGATGGGTAAATTATATTTTTAATAGAGGTAGCTTTCCAAAGTTGTAAAAAACTAACCTAAGCATAAGTCAAGAAAAGCAAAGCTATCTCTTTGGAATTAGGAATTAGAACTATTAGAGAAGAAGAAACTTTGCCAGTGGATAATGAAAAACAAAAGGATGATCATGTATCAAAAACTCAAGGATAAAGAATTAAGAGGGCAGACACGAGAAATCCAAAGGTGACGGGTTGGTGGGTGATAAGATGGTTTCTGGCACCTTGTCTAAATGGATAGAATTCTGAGACATCCAGCCTCCCCGAATAGTTAGCACCATTCTTAGATGTATCTAGAGAACCAAGAGAAGATGGGAAAAAACAATGTTTCTAGGACTTAGATTCAGGACACAGAGAATCTGTTACTTGTAGTGTTGTCTTATTTGAAATAAATTTATATCCTGCATGTGTTAATAAATAAATGCTAAGTTTTCTGATATATGCCAACACTGGCGTGTAATATTGAATACATTCAGGCCTTCCATTAGAAATCTAATTACGCTTTCCTGAATCTGTTGCCATAATCATTAGTGGCAACTTAGCCCTGTTCGGCGAAATGGGATGGGTATAGTCTAACAAGTTTCTTTAAGACTGGCCTTAATCCGTAGACGGCGATGGGAAGACAGTATTCTTCTTAGGGGCTCATTCCCTGATCTTTCTGCTTCCTCTGCTTTCCCAGATGCTACAGTGGCTGCCACAGATCTAAACTGTTGTGTAATCCTCAGGGTAAGCACAACACTTAAGACGACACTCATTCTCGGGGTCATGCAGGTGCCCTAGAGGTCATACTTGGATCACCCTAGTCCCCACCCTGCTCAGCCCACATGCTCCTTTTTGTGCAAATTCCCAAATTCCCACGTCACTGCCAAAATTTCATATTCAATCCTCGATTCTTTATAATACCGACCATCTCTCTGAGGTTCATTTCTCTTGATCACATTTTCTCACCTTTTCTAAGTGCTTACTTGACTCTTCTTAAGTTTTGTGCCCATGGTGCCTCGTGAGGCCGAAAATAGAAAGTGAAACAGTGATTTCTCAGTTACAGGACGGAGAGAAAAATGAGAGGTAAATAGACAAATCATGCAAATCAAGCAAGATTTACTTTTTAAGACAGATCTATGAATGTCTGAAGATATAACAGGACTATGACAATGGGGTGGAGGTAAAGTAGGCAACAAAGAACGCCACAGAAATAAAAGTTCAAGGTATAGCGAAGGAGGAACTGGACTCTGGGGAGAGGTAACTTAGTGGCAAAAATCTTTATACATTTCGATTAAAGAAGGAGTACATTTATTCAGGGACAATGTGTTTAAGGTACCTGAAGCATGACCGTTAATCCTCAGTGACTTCCAAAGATCTAGGGCCTATAGGCCTATAAGAAGATTCCTGAGAAATATCACAAAGATACCAACTATGATTACTAACTACCCTGGAACTCTCATTTCCACCGTTTCTACCTGCTCAGGTGTCACTTACTCACCTGGGTAGTTCTGCCCTGAGAATTTCTCCACTGTCACGGTTCTTCTCCCTGTTTCAGTTTGAAGATCACATCTGGTTTGCAGAATGATACAGAACATGGACCAAGCTTCGACTTGGGGACTCTGAAGGATGAAGTAAGTATAGCTTCAGAAGCTGTGCAACAAAGATCCCAGCAATATGTCGGTAAAGCCAGAACATTCCAGGAGAGGGTGGCGGGACAGCAGTGAGTACACACACACACTTCTACTGCCTCAAAGGGTTTAATCACCTTTCTCCCCTGACATGATGCTAATTAAATCTAACATGTTTTTAAAACACAGAGCAAATGCATGCTTTTGAGAGTTATACAGGGAAACTATACTCACTCGCTGAGACTAGGCTTCACATCCCTGTACCGGAGTCTCTGGGCAGGCTCAGGTTGCTGCCACTCCTTCTGGGTGAGGTTCACGGTCAAGTCCTTGAATGAAACTGATCTCTGAAAGAATGTGCTTAATCTGAGGTAATTAGAATTTGGTGACATAAAATACATGGGAACATCAAATATAAGGAGACTGCTGTCATGGCTAATAGAGTCATAAAGAGACATACTTTGTGAGAGGGTAAAAATTTAGAAATATCCTGTTACTGTGTTCATTTTTTTTCAAGTTAATTTAAAAGTTTTACTGAACTTACATCATGTTCCTAGTGCTATTCTAATTTATCAGATTACTAACTCACATAAAATGTATGATCCTCAAGAAGCATACATACGACAGGGTGGCATAAATAGACATCCACATCTTCAGTAAAGAGCAATGAAGGACATACGTGCAAGATAAAGGGTGATTGCAAAGGGAGGAAGCAAGTTCCATTCTGTATTATCAGGCTTCTGTGAGGGGGTGATACTTTTATTCCTGAAACACACATAGTGTGTTTTGTAGGGATGTGAGCATTATGAAATATATGCAGCTATAAAACACACATGGGAAGTTTGGAGAACTATAAATATCTCAGTATGGAAGGATAATGAGGAGCTGGACAGAAGGCAGAGAAAAGAGGGACTTTCTTCTATAATTAAGAGTCTTGAAACTTTTTGGATGGTATAACACATCGGTAAAACATGCATGCACACACAACTTACATGTACGTTTACTTAGGAATTATAATGTATCTGAGTTACTTAAGCTACATATTAATATCAGTAAAGCTCAATTATTTTCTCATTCTTTTAGCCAAAATGCCAATGTGAATAGAAGCCCAGTGGATCCGTAGGATGCTCCCTAGCCTCCACTTTGAAGACCACTGTTGTGAATAATGGAAATCCATAAAGAGACATTTGTCAGTGAGGACTGAAGTTTTGTGATCAAATTTGTATTTTAGAAGCAATGCTCTATAGCATAGGGGTTGACAAACTACCGCCTGTGGGCCAAATCCAGCCCACTGAGAGCCAAATGTGGCCAGACCCATTTGTTTACACATTATCTACAACTGCTTTCATGTTATAAAGTTGTGCTGAATAGATATGACAGAGACCACATGGCCAGCAAAGCCAAAAAGACTTATTATCTGGTCCTTTAATAATGGGAAATCGCTTAAAGGTCAAATTAGAGGGGAAGAAAACTAGAACACCACTGTGAAACAGGACCCCAGGTAGGGCTCCAGCGGGGGTGGGAAGGAACCAATCTCACATGAGGAGGAACAAGAGGAGATGACCACTAACAGGTTGTGCCATCGGAGATATAATGTCTAGTCCATTCTGCAAGATCGCCTGGGTAGACGCTAGTGTGATGCTAAGATTAAGGGAAAAAAAGAATTAAGCATCGGAGGCTGATGCGTTGCTGTTTAAGATGTTGTGCTTGAAATGTCTGGGGAGTAGACAAGTAGAGACGTCCAGTGGGCAGCTGGATATATGGTTCTGGAGCTCAGAGGACAGAGAAGACAGAGTGGTGATCAAAAGCCATATCTGAAGGCATTAATAATGAGGAAGACCTCATAAACTTATATGGAGTGATTTCCAGGCTATATCAGTAAGTGGAAAAAGCCAAATGCAAAAGAATATCTATAGTATGCTACCTTTTATTAAGAAAGAAGGGGATATAATAAAATAAACAAGTCACTGCTCATGTGTACAAAAAATATAGAAATGATAAACCAGAAACCAATGAATGTGGTTAACCTCAGGGGATAGGTGGGAACAGATGAAAAAAAAATAGGAGAAGAGAAATGGGGTAGAAGGGATGAGGGGGAAGTGATACTTCTCTACATGTGTCTTTCTACACAGTTCTGATTCTTATAACTACGGTAATGTCACATACCCCCCAAATAAACCATTAAAATCAACCAGGATGAGGAAGGAGAACCGCAAACAGAATACAAACAGTAACAAATGCATCTAACTATAGTAACTCCTCACTTAACATTGTCAATAGGTTCTACGATTTAGGCCAAAGGATGCAGGACGAAACCAGTGTTACCATAGGTTGATTGATATAAACAAGAGTTAAGTCCCTATGGCAACATCAATGTTATAACAAAACATTGAACAAAATAATGTTATTCAAGGATCTGCTATATATTAAAATAAAATAATATAACTACAGTGAAGGGGATGAAGAACCATAATAATTTTGGAGAAGAGTATTTTAACTACATTCTGTAAGGCTAAAAGAACTGTAGATAAAGATGCTCGTTAGGGAATTTGTTTTTCACATGGGGTGTGGATCAGCTATTCTTAAACTACCTCAAGGGTCCACTTGGATGAGCAAATAATATAATGCGGATAATAAGAGCCAGGTTTCTCCCTGTCAGACTAAACAGTTATGAATTAGGAAAAGGGAAGGCTAGACCGAGCCCTGCAACATTAGTGGCCAGTAAAGCGTCAAGGCCATGGGAGACAAGGACTGTCCTGTATTGCAGGAGGCTAAGGAGACATAACCACCGAATGCAATGTGGCATCCTAGGTTGGATCCCTGAACTGAAGAAGAAATGAGTAGGACAACCGGCAAAATTTGAATAAGACAGATAATATTATATTAACGTTAATTCCATTTTTGATCACTTTATTGTGCTTTGCTTGGGTGTAAAAGTCACAGGAAACCCACTGCATTTCTTTCACAGTTTTTTTTTTTTTTTGACAAGACTGGCCTCTATGTCACTTATTCAAAGATCATCTAAGAAAATGTTCACATATAAATGACAGGAAAGCCATACTCAGAGCCTTCCTGGCACAACTTGAATAAACATATAGAAACATGATTTCTGTATATTTATGTCAACCTTCTAGTGTTGATCTGATACACTTTTCCCTGATGCTGAATTTGCGTATTTCTACTATTTCGCCTGAATGTACAAACTACTATAAGCCATTTTGAAATCCACTGTAGAATGTGGAAAGTAAATCCGTAAACAACTTACCTGGGATTTGTTCATTTTTGGATGCTCTTGAGAAACGGCCAAGAGTGTTGATACCAGGGCTGAGCAAGGAAGAATGGGGAATGGAATTATGAGCGATCTGGCTAACATAGCAGCTCTTACAATTACCTACCCAGAAAGTGACCTATTTTAAATGACCCTTTGATAATTCTGGTACTGGAAGTTATAGGAAACAACACAATGAGGAACTATCCACTTATCCATTTTAAAATTCTGAAATGGTCACACATAACTTTTCATTCTGAATGTAAACAGTTGTTTTCTATGGAATTAATGTATGCCTTTGAAAAAAATTAAAAATAACCTGAGTCCAATAAGAGATTGGGGAATAAAATTTAGTATATAGAAAGTTTGGAATACTATTCTAGCCTTAAAATTGATTTTAGGATTAAAAGATTTATTGGCATAGGAAAATACTGATAGTCAGTTACTTATTTTCCTATATTTTTTAGCCACTTGAGATCAGATAATCCAGGAGATCAGAAAAAGGAATGCACATACTTTAAGATCTTTTTTTTTGTTTGGTCTCCCTTAAAGTTTCTCAAGAGGATCTTGTGATAGAGGATAGAGCCCTGACATAGGAATTCAAAGACCCGAATTCAGTTCTTGGCTTTCTCACTAGCAAACTGCCTGACTGGATAACTATTTATCTTTCAAGTCCTAATTTTAAAATAAGGCAAAAGTAATAGTTTTAAAAACCACTCTTTACTTCCACCATGTGATTCTATAAGGGAGAAATTCAGTGAATCCTAAGTGAGGGGATGGACATAGTTTGAGCAGCTCAGAATAGAGATAGTAGGAAATGACTGTATGTATTCAGGAAGTGATAAGAAATAATTTCTTCAGCTATGCCTGGTACCCCTTTCCTACAACCCACCCACTCACAAACCCTCCAATAAAGTGTCTCTTCCTGTAAAATCTGCACCCTGCCCATTGCCTTCAATGCAGCTCACATCTTTCTTCTGAAAGCTGAACACTTAGTTCTGAGCCACAATAATAAATGGTCTCTGAATAGGGTGTTACCACCCAGTATATGCATAGACTGGAGAGAATTCTGGCCTAGTAACTCTTGTGTTCCTTCCGAGGATTTGTCTGCTTCCATGCTGAAATTCTAGTGAGAGTTTTCAGTTCAAAAACATGTTCTTCCAGGTGTAATTTCTGTTCCCGGGGCCTTCTGCCCTTTACTTCATGGAGTGGTTTTGTTTCAAGGTGGGCCTAGCGCCACATTTCCATTACCTAGAATCTACATTTGGAGTTTCAAGGCTCGAATGCTTGGTAAGCTGGACCTTTTTAAAAAATCTAATCAGGGCTGCTCTGGAGTGAGATAACACTGCAGGGGGCAGGACAAAACCTCAAAACCTTATTTCCCCAAATCCTAAGGGAAATAGGCCAAACGATTTGATTATCAAAATACACGGCTAAGTGCTTCCTAGGGCACACATAGGATAAGTGACTGTGCCAGAGAAAACACAATGAGTGTAGGTAGAGGGGAATGTATATTATAAAGAGCATGAAAAAGACTAGGAGTAAAATAAACCTTGTTTTAAAACTCAACTCATTTGCCAGTGAGTAAATCACTTTAGCTCTCAGCAAATGAGAGTTTTAAATGTGCTCCTACAGGGGTGGTAATGCAGGCCTCACAGCCTGGTTCTGAGGATATCTAAAAATTTTTCTAACATAGAAAGCAGGTGATAGAGTGGACTATATTCCGGGCTTGATCTTCACAAGTGCTTTCTTGTTCTAACTCAGCACAATTCTATGAGGCAAATATTATTTAGATATTCATTTAACAGATGGGGGGTTGGGGGAAGGAGTTAGAATAAATAACGTGCCCAGGGATGCAGTGGTTTCGTCGCAGGACCTCATCTGAATCCAAGCTCTTAAAACTTCACACAGCTCTGTGAAAACCTCCGCCCTCCGAATCTTTCACTGAAATCCTTTCTAGTCAAATCGACACCCTGGCCATTCCCTTCAACTGCAGTTCACAGCTTTCTTTTACTAAAGTCAGTATGGAATAACTAATATAATGATAATATTTAATTCTCATATTTGTTCCCTTCCCTACCGCGCTCTAAAACTTTTCAACCTAGCCCGCCGGCTGCAGATCCAAGTGCATCAGTGGAAGTTCCGGAATCGGATTTTAGCTAGCTGGCGGCACAAACCTTTCACCTTTACAGAGCACCTTCTTCAGGCAAAGAAGGGCAGCAGAGAGCGCCCGGCACGAGGCCGGCAGGTCAGGAGCCCAGCCCTCCCTCGCTGCCTTTCTCCGGGACCACTGGAAACCCGCTCCAGGGGCTCCCTCCAGGGGGATGGGAAGCGAGCCCGCGTCGACCCTCCGCGAACCGAGGCCGGCCGCCTCCGCGCAGTCCCACCCTTCCCTCCGACCCTCGAGGGCTCGGGGCTCCCCGCCAGCCTTTCCTCTAACTTGGGGGTGCACCCGCTACGCTTCCAGGTCGCACCAGGACAGAGGACGGCAAGATGAGAGGTTCAAGAGGCTGCAGTACCATGTCCAGGAACAGCCAGGGGAACCGGAAATAATCTCCCAGCTGGAACACCGAAGGGCACATGCGCGGAAGAGGCTTCCGGGCGCCCTTCGTGGGATTCCTCAAAGGAGGCTGGACCGCTTTCCACGACTCCATTCCCCATAAGGCACCGCGGCGGTTCCCCCCCGCCCTCCCCCCTCTGAGTGGTCCTTCGAAGAACGTTTGCTTTAATAATGGGGCTTGATCGATTGCTATGAACCATTAATATAAAAAGAAAAATTGCCTGTTAATTTCGCCGAAGGTTGTAGATGAGAAACGAAGATTACAGACTATGGAATGTTCACCAAAATGCTAATGATCCCCAAATCTTTATCTGTCTCCTAAACTTCTCTTAGGAATACCAAAGCCCATATTTTATTCTCTCTACTGTTTTCCCCGCTCAACATCAGAACACATGCTGCGGAATAACCCCTATGAACGCTTTAAATGTGAGGAAGTCTTCTATGTATCTGAAAATCTCATAGGGGATCTCAGAATGTAAACAATACTACAATAAAGCCTTTACCGATTTTGGTAAATCCTTCTGCATATTTTGAATGTATGAAATCATCATGGAATTCAACCATTAACTACATGAAATTTACGCAGAAAGGAAATCCACCAGTAGGGAGCGTTGCATGGCATGCCTGGCTCATCAGTGGCCGGGAAGCAGCAGGGTTGAAGGATTGGGTGGAGGCGACAATATCCATAGAAAAGACGGTGGGAAGAACTTACCGGAGTGGGCACAAATTGTGAAGATCTTCGTGTTTATATTCGTTTTCTATGACTGTGTAACAAATTACCACAAACTAAGTGGCTTAAAACGAGGCAAATATATTATCTCATCACTTCTGCAGGTTAGGTTAGGGTGGGTGTGGATTCTCTGCTATGAGTTGAAATCAAGGTGTCAGCTGGTTCTCATCTTGCACTTAGGGTTCTCTTCCAAGCTGATTGGTTGTTGGAAGAATTCATTTCCTTGTAGTTGTAGGACTAGGGTCTCCATTTCCCTGCTATTGTGTCAGAGGTACCACCCTTAGCTCCTTAGCCACAGCTTTAGACTGCTGAGATAGAGATCTTGGATCTTGGAGATATTGGTGGACAGTTCCACCAGGAAACACAATGATAAATGTTCTATCCTCCAGTCCTTCAGGAGAACTATTCTGGGAATATTCTGTATGTTTTTCAGAGGTCCTGGCACAATCAAATCCCTGCTGTTTATATCGGTGGCATTAGTAACATTCCCTTAGGCTAACTTTCCTCCTTTACCTTATTCTCTCCCTTGCTTCATTTCCAAATCCTTGTTCCAGCTCTGCTTTTAGGCAAGGTGTTTATATAAATAAGTGTGTGCATAGCACAAATATTCTACAACCCAGGAACTTTATGCATTTTTACATAATATGAGAGGATGACATTGTCTCCTGTGCCCTGCCCTGTCTTCTCGGCATTTCTTTTTCATCCATAGAGAGAAGAGAATGAAGATTTGAATTTAAGATTATAGAATTGAAGTTATCATCAATAATTCACTTTAAAGAGTATAGAGTTAATATCTAGGTCTTTGCATTCTGATTATTAAATAGATTGTGTTTGTGGTAAGTGATTGTAGTTCTGCTTATCACCTAAGAGTATTTTCCATTTAAAAGCCATGGATTCTGCTGAGATTTTATCCAGTGGGAGCTTTCTTCAAAAGAAATTTAAAGAGTAGTGGAAGACTAAAATTTGCTTTTTAAAAATTACTTCTCAATACATGCTTTTTAAGCATACTAGTTGCATTTACATAGATATTTTTACAAGGATGTTCACTGAAGCATGGTTTATAACAGAAATAAAAAGAAACAACCTAAACGTACATTGGTTGAGAATAACCTGATGAATCGTGATGCATGTTCACAATGGAATGCTGTGCAGGCACTAAGAATGAATAAGGTTATTTATATGTTGTAATAAAAAAAGTCCATGATATACTCCTAAATGACATAAAACAAGAGGTAAATGAATATATGAAACATAATTCTAGCATGATTAAATAAAGATGTGCACATTTAAATACGTATGACTGTATACATTTAGATAAACTTTAGAAAGATATGCTCCAATGAAAATCCATGGGACATGAGATTGTTTAGGAGGAAGAGGGACTTGCACTTGTGCATCTATATAACTTTTCTATGAAGAAGTAAAATGAAAGAGGGATATAAAAGCATTCATATTAGTTAAATTTGAATTTCAAATATGTATATGTATAAAGAGAGAGTAGAATACACAAACACACACACATAGATCTTCATTGAGATCAGTGCTGCAGAAAAGACTGAAACAAAAATATTAAATACCCATCACTTATAGATACAGGTTTATAGGTAAATTTTATTTTTAATGTTAAGTATTTTTCTTTTAAAACATTTTCTTAGTGTTTCAATAACTTCTGACTGTCCTCAAATCTTTTCTTCTGCCATTTTGCCATCTGAATTAGTTTGCTAGGGCTGCAATAAAAAAGTAGTGCAGACGGGGTAGCTTAAACAGCATAAATTTTTTGTCTCACAAATCTGGAGATTAGAAGTCTGAAATCAAGGTGTCAGCAGGGTTGGTTCTTTCTGAGGGCTGTCAGGGAGGTCTGTTCCAAGCCTCTCACCTCGCTTCTCGTAGCCTTAGGCATTCCTTGGCTTACAGATGGCATTCTTCCTGTGTCTTCACATCATCTTCCCTCTGTAACGTGTCTGTTTCTGTGTCAAAATTCTTTCACCCCCTTTGCTTTTAAGCACACAATTGTGATAGATTAAGGTCCACCCAAATGACCTCATCTTAACTTGATCATCTGCAAAGAACTTATTTCTTAATAGGGTCACAATAACGGATACCGTAGGTTAAAACTTTAACATCTTATAGGGGGAACATAACACCATCCAACAATTTTTCTGGTAGCTCTATTAGAATATAATTAATTATGACCTCATATTTCCTTTGATATGTGTATGAACAACTCTCTTTAGTTATTCAGACAACCTGACCTAAGTGGGTCTTGGAAGAGTAGAAATCCATGCACTGAATCTAGAGGAGGGTTAGTAATCTCAGGCTGATTCCAGTAAATTAGAGTACATTTATTGTACTCTAATAACCATTTGTTGACAGGATGGTTTTTAAAAAAGAAGGACAAATATTGCAAGGATGAAGAAGGAAACAGGGAAAGTGATAGAAAGGAGGATGGCATCTGAGTTCTACAGCTTCCCAGGTCCTCAGTTCTGGGGCTCAACCTGGCCAGCATAGAGCTCGGCGGCTGGTCTCCAGACATGATGAGTTAGGATAGTTTAGGGGGAGGTATAGCGGGGAGTAAGGAAGGGAGAAGGGAGAGGAGGGATGAAGAGAGGAGGAAAAACGGGATGGAGGGAGAGAGACTGGGGGAAGAGGAAAGCCAAACCAGCAGGCAGATATCAGATAATGCAGTTTCCACTGTGGCCAATAGGTGACAGTATTAGCACAGAGCAGCCACCATTGACTACCAAGGTGAAAACTTCGTTGCCCAGGGAGAAGGCAATGAAGTTTTCACCTTGGTAGTCAATGGTGTTGACCTGGGTCAGCTCATCTGTGGTAGACACCTGTTGTTGGTTTTGTTTTCTGTTTTGTTTTGGTCTTCCTAACATCCGTACTGTCTCTTTCTGATAATTTTCCTTTGAGGAACTCCCACACTCCCATTAAGCTCTGCCTTATATACTCATATAGGCTGCGCCCTGCACAACTCTGGAGAGATCTGTCCATTTAGACTGTTGAGTGTTGCCCACTGGAATTGAGCAGTGCCCAACCTATACCACTGACAATGTCAGCCATTGAATGATGGCCCAGTAAGTTGCCCATCATACTGACCTCGGTGGAACCAATTTATACTGACATGGATGTCGAGACGCAAGTGTCCATTAATT